GGATAAAGATAAGGTTTTAATACCCATCTACGATTCCCAAATGTGGAAGAACTCGTTATTTGGCGCATTGTATGAATAAAAATTACCTCGTAAATATTCATTCACGAATTGAGATGCAAATCATTACGATAAATTAAATTATTTGAAATGTTCCACCAAGGTCTTCATTTAGTTAAACGTTCACTTAGTTTTTCCTAAACTGAGCGTGTAAATTTCATATATAAATAAATGATAATATTTGAAAAAAAAAATTAAAATGATTATTTGAAAAAGGAAATCTTGTATGTCCAGAGAATTTGTAAAAAATAAATATGCAAACTCAATGATGAACACTACCCTGGGGTACTATCAGAGAGGCTCTTACTTACCACCGGGTGCCTATTTACCTGCAGCGCATAATCGGGGCATACTTGAGTGGCAGGTGCATCCAATATGTGGGCCGGAACGCACTAGTCCATCGGAGGGAGTTGAATTGTGGGGTTCCACAAGGGTCAGTGTTAGGACCATTACTGTGGAACCTCGCGTATGATGCGGACCTGCGTATTGGTCACCCCGTTAGTGCTGGTGGCAAATAACGTCGTGGCATGCGTCGTGAAAAAATGAATTGCCACTTCAAATAGCACCACAAAAGACTGAAGCCCGGTTCTATAAACTTCCAAGAGGAAGGGATCTACTCAGTTGTTCGGTTCGCATTCGTTACGTGCAGAGTGCAGGGCACTTTAACAGTCTGACTCCTCGGATCAAGAACGTAGTGGGTGTGCTATGCACAAACTGCTGGCAAATCAGGGATGGAATCTGCCGCCTTTATGGGATGGTCATCGATCGATGGCCCTCTATGGTGCGCCCGTATGGTCTCATAGACTAACGGGCTTCCGACGGGACTCCGCCCAACATACGCTCGCTGAAAGTACCAGTTTGGAGGGCACTGGTCTCCTTCCGAAGGGGTGTAACAAGCGAGCTGCACTAGATGTTAAGTGATAGCCACCGCCCATGGCACACACCAGCAGATGCATTGTCGCCTTTTAAAAAGTGGGCCCCGACTACCCCAATCATATGACGAAACGCAGAAGTAAAACTTTCACGTCACGCCGGTTCTATCTTATTCACCTTTAATAACATTGTTAATAGAAAATATTTTGTAGGGTTGATGAGCTAAAGATTAAAACGGGACCCTATCACCAAGACTCTTCTGTATGTCTGTCTGTCGCCAGGCTGTATCAGATGATGTATTTCAATTTTAATTTATTTTGTGAGGCTCCCATACAGCAGACGTGATTTTCTCCCTCCCTACTGACACCCTAGTTCTGTTGAAAACATGGCATGGAGAATCGGCAACGCAATTCTTAAACCTTATCTTAAGCTAACCCGCTATTCTTTTTGTCTCCTTTCCCATAGACATATTATTGTCTATTGTTATTTGGGTGTAGTGTCTGCGATGAAATCCATAGTGTATCGTTCTTGTCAGCAATTTGTTATTTTCGATAACTTAGGTCGACAAAATTATATTTAATGAAACACTCGCAATTTATTCGATTATATTAGTTTAAGGACGATTAGTCATTTTACTTGTGAGAATATAATTATCGTTAAGTGAACTTCGTAAATTAAAGATAATTTATCGAGGCTTTCAATGCTATACCTACTGATAAAATCATTAATTCAGAGTACGGTTTAATACGGTTTAATTGCTATGAATTCGTAAAATTAAAAAATAATATTGAGTAAACTATCCATGTACATAAATAAAACGATAGAGGTCTGACAGTATGCGCACGGAATACCTACTGGATAGATTTCAATGCATTCTTCTAAGTTTTATTTCTTAGACACTTGGCCCTTATCTCAAGAAAAATATTGTCATTTAATTTAAAATGATTAAAGTTTTAATAAACAATGATTTTTATAAAAACAGAGTGTACAGTAATCTGTTTTCTCGTTATGGAGCAGTGGGGCAAGCGGTGTTATTGTTAATGTAATAATCAATGCAAACAAAGTTGCTGGCAGAGGCTAGTAAGAAATATATAAAAATAATTGTATAAAATGTTTATTCGACGTTGACAGCTTTAAAGTAGAAAATGCCCTTGAAGTATTTATCTTTTTACTAACCGTGATTTGAAGTAATTGCTCTTAATTGATTTTTCATAATTATGCTTTCGCTACCATAACTGGAATGAACGGCCGAGAACATTGCCAAAATCAGTCGTATTTTACTTAAAGTTACTTTTTAATTAGCAACAATTGTGTGGTTAGTTAGTACATTTAATTTAGTGGAATTATTTAAACGAGGCCTATTAATTTTATAATACTTTTCTCTGAACTTTGGGTGAAATTTAAAAATTTGCAGAAATAAAATAAATTAAATTATGCCATCCGCAGTGGGTTCGCGTGGTAGACTATACCCGAATATGTAGGATATATTCGTATACCCTATACAAAGGAGCACTTTGCTCAGCAGTAGAACATGTAATATATGTACCTGACACCTTTGCATGTAATAGCAATGATGTCATCTCTCGATTTCAAATATTTCATTGTATATAATATTTAATTTTTTATATGAAAAAGTGGGCGATTGCTGTATAAGAAGCACACTGATGGCGCCAAACTCTGATTAGAATGTAATAAAAAACAAAAAAATATGCTCAGATTTTTGTACGTGTGAAAGTAAGAAGGTTCAAATCCTCGCAGTGGCGAAAAAATTTTCCGTTCATTTGTTTCCTACAAATTTTTAGTTTAAAATTTTGAAATGTTACCTACTAGCAGTTTTAAGATGTTGTTTAAAAGTTAGTTCATGACGTTTTACGAAAATCGTAGATAGATCATTTATATACGTAAGATGTTCTGTGGAATTTGAAAGAAAAAAAAATTTAAATTAAAAGAAAGCAAAAAGTTTACAAGCTTTTTGAATTTGACATAAGTAAAACCGACGTGATGAGAGGGTACAAAGAGTAACGAATTCTGAGAAGAGCGAAGATTGAGGAAATGCGAGTCCCCGAGGAACTGATATCTTTCTTTTGCATAGGAAGGTGTGGAGGGCTCATAAAGGATTGAAAACAGAGTAGACAGGATACGTGAGTATACGATATATAACAGGATACGAAAGACCTATGTACATGAAGATATATCCGTTGATTTAAATTGTATGGTTGTAAGTATTAATTTATTTGTGTTGTTGTAAGTACACTCAAGATTAGTGATTTATTCGAGAGATAAGACAAATATGCGATGAATGTGCACCGATATATAACACATAAACGATACCTTATCCGGCAATACCTTGAAATACATAACTTAAGCTTCTAACTACGTGAAGATTTTGATAAAATGGATCACGTAAGTAGCTCGATCAATTTAACGGGAAGATAGGTCACCTATTAGAGAACAAAAATAGTTTTAGTAAAAGTTTTACCGTTTTTGAGATATTGACCTTACCTAATGAGTTTTAAGATGATAATTCCCTAAAAAATGGATGTATTGAAACTAGATTTTGTTTGTTATCTTCAGAATAACCTAAAAATATCATTAACTTTAACATCAATAGCTTAGTGTCCATTATCCCCATGTGTTTGTTAATAACATTGTTTTTATAATGTTTCTTATGATGGAAATGGCGCGAAATATTTGAATTTAAAATTGAAGCCTATTTTGTTACATTGTCTAAATAATAAAAATAGAGTGAGACGTGCACTTTTGGATTTTCCACACATTTAATATAATACGGTCGTCAAAAATTATTTATTCCTATTCATGAATTTCATTTATGATAATTCCTACGTCAGGTACGGAACATTCCATAATAGGTAATTAAGGTGGTGGTATGCAAATGTTATGATAATTAACAAATAATAATATATGGCTATAAAGTATATACATGGGTATATGAATATGGTTATTATGTTGACTTTGGTATGGAGCTTAGCGCAAGTTTTTAGTTAAGGCTTGTGTTGATAGTAAGAGTAAAGGACTAACAAAACCTATATGAAATAAGAAAAATAACCTTATGAGAGTTTTTCGAACCCTATGTAGTAATCGCAACTGACAGCCGAGCGGTTTTGCTATCTGGTCAACACCGCTGTTGCGCAAAATACGTCGTTTAGTTTGGAGCCAAGTTGGGATATAAGTCTTTCATATCATGCCCGATTTGAATAAATTTTCCATACCACTAGATAACGATATAAGGTCAACTTCGATACGAGGATCCCTTGCTCTTCTTGATCGTCCTCTTGAGGATATTTGTTGTTGCTTCCCCCTCCTTTCAAATTTGATGCTATTTAACCTCCCTGTTTATTTAATTACCCTTTAAATTCAATATACTCACTCACTAGTGGGTGACCTTATAGTAACACGTGTACTAGTGTTACTATAAGGTGACCCGCTTTCTTTCTGTTCCTTTCCCTTTCATATAAAGGTAGAATATAGCAAAAACAAGAAAGTAACCAATGACCATGATTATGATAAAGAAATCTGTGGTTGGTTCTAGTGATGATGCTTTTTGAACCGTAGATAGTATATATTGATATAAAAAACTTTATTGAATTAGGTTTACGAAACAGTTTCATGCGAATTAAAAAAAATAATTGTAAATAATTCAAAAAATGTATTTTCAAAACGTCACTCCATCCACGTCAGAATTAAAGCTATTTATTCTAGTAATATCTTTTTTGAGAACGTTTATGTAAAAAAATACAGGTAAGGACATAAAAGTAAGGAAAAAAATAAAGGAAAGTAATACAATGAAGCATATTTTTTAAATTCGTTTTTAATTAAATTTTGTTAATTATAAAAATGGCATAATTACTTGGGCTATTTATTTATTCGTGTAATATTACAAGTATTGTTAATTTTTAATACTGTAGTTATAACCAATACGCCATATATGAGGTATATATATTATTTACGTTGGAAAAACACAGGTGTTTCAAAATATGATTTGATGTCATCAATCTCTACTCATAAAATAATTATCTTCCCAATCTGTAAAGTCTGTGTTATTGATCTTATCGTTTCAATAACTTGCACTCCAAAGGCCAAAACATTAAACAAGGTAGGCAACATGCTACCAAAGCGTAAAATGCAGGCACATAGTCTCCATTGATATCTTTTACGAGACCTGTAAAAAATCGGAATCAAAACTTTTTATACCTAGAAAATATATATCAGATCCAGTTTATAACAATACAGTCATGTCTCCAACTTCTTTGAAAAAAAGCAAAGTTACTTTGTCTCAGGTGATAGTATATTTATAGCATAGGGGAAGGAGATACTAGTACCGGTAAAGGTTTTCTAATGATTTATAGTATAGTCTTTCTTTTAGTCTGAGTCATACTTTTAAACGAGTTTATGAATAAAGGCGACAAGTGACCTTGTGTTTCGGCTGATGTTAAGTTAGGACCGCCGCCCATGGGCATCTGCGGTACCTGTGGGATTGCAGCTACTTTGCGAACTTTATAAAAGTAAGCCCTGGTTACCTCAATCACCAGACAAAACGTAGAATAATAATACTTCCATATCGAGCCGGTTTTCTGCGAGGCTCTGATATTTTCCCGGTTGAGTTTGCCCATTCATAAAGGCTGCTACGTGCCCTGCCACAGTGACCCTAACCATATGGTTAGGACTTACGTTTTTTATAAATTTGACTTTTTTATGGTTAACTAATAGCCACATTATATGTTGTTTTGAAAATAATGTTCAATTTGATTACAAAATGTATGTTCAATCTTAAGTGCAGAGATTAGCACTATAAAAAACTTTAAAATTTATAGAAAGCAATGGCGATATCTCTCGTTCGAATTATCGTTGTAAAACGATATTCGAAATTGTTTGTATGCTGGAAAGGATATAACAATATATGCGCCAAGCATTGCTTCAAATGCGAAAATAACAATGTAGAAAGAATGCGTTAAGATTATCGTCGCTGTGGCTATCAGCCATTTAGCTCAGTGGCTAGAGCGTCAGGCCGCGAATGCCGAAGACGTGGGTTCGATTCCCACAGCGGCGACACAATGTTTTCGTACTTTTTCTACATGTTTTAATGTTCAATCTTAAGTGCAGAGATTAGCACTATAAAAAACTTTAAAATTTTATATTGATAATTTTTACCTATGAATGGGGCGAATGTGACATTCACTAATCCAGATGCGAGCAGGCTTAAGGCGTATGCTCCCGGGAAGTCCTCGTGTGAGACTTGATTGGAAATAACTAGTGGACTGGCAACATGAAGCCATCCTCGAAGCACGCCCAATGCACCAGTTACGACAAATACAAAACTTTTCCGTCTGACATGTAGCAACACTAGAATAAAGTTCCATTATTGAAACGTTGATAAAATCATTAATTTTGAGTTAAGTTATCGTTAAAAACCTACCAATTCTGATGAGAAATGTAAATAGAGTCGCAACATAGTATAAAACTCTTGTATTGACTGACATCATACTGCTCATAACTGCAAGTATACACCTTCCAGCCACGTCTGCACCAGTGCTTATCGATATGCTGGCTGCTACTTCAGTCTATAAAAGTAACATCATATAATTATTAAATGCAAAAACATAGAAAAGTTGAAATACATCATTTTCATGATACAGACGAGGGTGAGAATACATGGAGAGAAATACTACCGAATACATATAAATAGTTATACTATGCAAATAACTTAAAACTGGTGGAAATTATTGCATGTGAAACGTGAAATTTCCATACATGTTGCAAAATATTGTAAATTCTTGTTTCTCTTTATACAGCATAAAGAGATGCAATGCTAAGCAATTATTAATAAAATCAATTTTACCGTGCTATAACCATATTGGAATAACAGCATAGGTTGCAAGACGAAAAATGTTAGGTCTGAGAAATTTACAAAACTCTGACCAATGCAGATGTTACAAAATACTGGATCTTTAAGAACTTTTATATTTAGTAATCTCCATAATTCTTCCCTGTAATGAAAATAGTTACTGATAAATATCTTTGACTTGAAATGCAATTAAATTACAATATTTAGCAGAAATGACAATAAATAATGACTCACCAAAATTTTTGGGCTTTGCTTTTATGAACTACGAGTATGCCTGATTTTGTAGCATCCAAGGTTTGTTTTCCATCTTCAATTGATAACAAATCTACATTTTCTTCTACTTTAACAACGTTATCCTCTGTAGAATAAATATATTTTGTATAAGATCAGTTATTCGATATTAAATAATGAAATTCTTTAGAAGGAAAAAAATACTTGCGATTCTATTATTTCGCTTAACGTGTTCATTTTTCCACATTACGGCCATCCCTGGGAATGTGTGCAGTGACACACCCGATATTATTAGCAAAGTGCCCCTGAATCCATAATATGTCATTAAAATCTTAATCAGTTGCGGATACCACATTAGAATAAATCCTTGTACGGCTTTTATGACGCTCATCACTTGAGTTCTTTTCCTAATATAGTAATAGTTTAAGGTGGAATAGCAAACCGGCGCCATCATCCCAAAACCGATTCCTTGTAGGGCGCCAAATGTTAATGGCAGCTGATTGGTGTTTGTTATGAATACTGTGAGTACTGAGCCAGTACTGAAAACAGCAGCTCCTATAAAGCCTCCAACCCTCATAGAGTGCTTTTTGAAAATAATATTGAGAATCAAACCTTAAAATAATCATACAATTATATAAAAAGTTTAGTTCAAATAGAATTTTATAATTTTTATTTATATGTTATAATGTTTATTTATACATATATTTGCTTAAGTATATCGTAACAATCAATATAAATTTAAAAGTCGGTAATAATTTACAAAATCTACGTTATACGCTTACAAGAGAAATGTTACGTATGAAATATTTATTAAGTAAAAATCGGCTAAATATTAAGAAAAAAAAAAACAAATGTTATTCGCATTAAAAAAGCCGCCATTTAATTACTTCAATGCCCTATGCATTGAAGTAATTAAAAGACAATTTGTAAACAAGAATTAGATAATAGCATTATTTAAATACAGCTGACATGCTTATCTTGCGGAGGCTCATATTGATTTGCTAAATCGATTACGAGGCTTGTAAATTATAGCCATTGTAGATATTTTAATTTATTTATTCATATTTTACAGTGATTGCACTATGTGTCACTTCAAACAGATTGTTTGGGGTTCCTTGATATTAAAAAAAAATTACGACCCACGAACCCAAACAATGGGCTAAAGATAAATAATTTTGGAACCTTACTTATCTAAGCTTATGACATTAAATCTTAGTTTTAGGTGGTACTAACTACAAAAATAGACAAATTTAAAAGCTATGAAAAATTTTGTAATCGATATAAAATTAGATAAAAGACTATTTTATTGATTATCCGTAGATTTTAAATACGCTATATTTAAAATCGTTGGATAGTCGATAATGAATTATCTTTCTTTGTTAGAACAAATATTTGAATTTTGCTTTAATTAGTAGAAACTATTGATTTAAATATGTTTTTTTTACAGGATACAAGAAAAATATAAATAATGTACAACAGGTAAGCTTAACGCATTGCATGAGTTCTCTGCCAGCTAACCTGGTGAGAAAAATATATGATTGGTATCTGGAAATGTGGTCAGTGTACAAAGATATTTCTATAACATACCATATATATAAATATTAATACATATAATATCTATAAACATGTATACATATTACATAACATACACTTACTATATAATAAATAAAGATAGAAAACAAGATATATAACTACAAGAAGAAAAATACGTTATGTGGATAAACAAAACTCCTTTGCTATTTTCTTGATGGAGTGGCACGGTCATTATAAGGTAAAGAGTTCCAAAGACGCTCCGCGTGTACTGTAGAAGAGAAGAAGAGTACGAGGGTAATATTAGAAGAAGGGATCTGATCTCACGACAGGGTTGACCACGCGGTACCATGTGCTCAAAACGCTCACGGATGTCCAGAGGAGCTGCAGGATTTTTGAGAATTGAGTAAAGTGTGGATACTACATGCAAATCTCGATGGCGACCTATGGGTAACCATTTCTACTGGGATCGAAAGTTAGAAATATGCGATGATACACAAAATTTGTAAACGTTCCAATTTATTGAGCAGTTTCTCCGCAGCATCCAAGTAACATACATCCGCATAGTGACGAAGAGGTAGAAGAAGGGAGTGTAACTTTTGGTTCAAAGGGCAAAAACCTTTGGAAACGCCTCGGAGAATGAAGCGAGTAATGTAACTTCCTGCTCGCTTCATTATTGTGACAAACGCCAAGGTTCTTAGCACACGAAGAGTATTGTATACTAACACCATCGTACCATACCGTTGGCAAGTTAATACCATGAGATGTTGATGATGTTTGTGACTCATTTTTTAAAATATTCTTTATTACTTCTCCTAACAAAATCAAAACGTTAATCTTATCCTTTAAACGAGCAATTCTTGTATATATATATATATATATATATATATAATTGGAATCTCGGAAACGGCTCCAGCGATTTTCATGAAATTTAGTATGTGCGTAGGTTCGGTTGCGAAAAATCGATCTGACTAGGTTTCATTTTTAGAAAATGTCGTTTTATCCCAGTTTTCAGGGAATGAAAAATATTATTCGAATACGACGGTAAATTTCACCGAAAAAAAAAATGTTCGGTCGGTAATCGGGGCGGCCGCTAACAAACAGCCACGAAACAGAAGGCCGTGGTTCGTGTCACGATCATTTACACACTTATTTTTTTACTTTTTTTTCGATTCCAGATCATTGCTTTCTTTATCTTTTATTTTTTGTCGATTTGTTTTTTTGTTATTTTTTTCCCTTTTTATTTAAAGTTCTTTCTTTTGTGAAAAACACCAGTTTATATGTTCTTATTATTGCGTCGGTAAGATCGAAACATATTATGTATATTTCATTACTTAGTAATTTGTATCTAAATGTAATTTCCAAAATACACGATTTAAAACAAAAAAAAACAAACCGAGCAAAGCTCGGTCCTCCACGTACTTATCTCTTTAATATTCACAAACACAAAACTATTACACAAAAGCAATGGCGGATTTCCTGAATCAAAAGTTTCACAAATTTTGAAACTTTTATTTGCACCGAAATTTCGCTTATTAATTATTTTAATGGTAACATTTCTCTATCGATTAAAATAAATGTATAACAATAATGAAGGATTTTGCAATAAAATAATAAGTTTAAAAATATATACACTTGGCAGGTAATATTCATGTCGACATTTCTTTCAGTTAGCTAGTCCACTCTCCAATATTAAATTTAAAAATTACTGTAAAAACCTTAGATCTGATTTAAGAGATATTTCTAATATAGTACTCACTTTTGATTAATTTCAAGACAAACTTTAATCGATTTCCAAAATTTAATTTTAATGATTAACTAAGAACAAAACAAAACCCAAAAACCCCTTTTTTTACAGTTTATGAATAAACTCACAGGCATGATGGGATTGGTTTTCGCTGTTCATATTAAATGGTAATAAAGTTAAGGTTTCTTGTTGAAAACATTCGTAATTGCAAAAATAGAACAAGACATCTCGCTCACCTCCAAGCGCAAGCATAACAGCAAAAACTCCGTGTGACATCGTCAACGATCTCACTGTGGAGTTTGTGTCAACAATAAAATCATTATAAATAAGCCCGAAGGAGTTGACGTGACCGATACCGGCAATCTGGCAAACAATTTTCAAAACGCTATGTTAATAATTATAGTACTAACATTTATTTACCATCATATATCTATATGTTATTCGTCTAATGCTCGGCCTATGGTAGGCCTCTTTTATAAAATAATTATTTATCAAAAGGGTGAGTCCGAAAGCCCGTAAGTCGCACCATTCAGGAAAAACAGCGCTAACGTTAAATGGCTCCACAGAGTGACTGCCGGTCTTCAGTATCGTTTTGTCATGTGGTAAGAATGTACCTTTCGGAGTTAGGGAGTGATATATAATACATTTTAATTAATTTCTCCCATCACTGTCAATGTTTACTGTCCATCCATTACTATCAATCCATTTAACGATAAAACGGATTAATTACATTAACGCCCGGTTTTTGAAACACTGATCATAGTAGATGTGAACTAATCAACCGTCAAATGGCTTTTCAAATTTCATTTTAGTCGCCAAAAGAACAGTTAAACTCTCTGAATTGACTAGAATGATATTCTAATGATCAGATTGATCAATCCAAGGAGTTTAACCATCCTTTTGGCAACTAAAATGAAATTTGAAAACCATTTGACAGCTGATTCGTTGACATCTACGATGATCAGTGTTTCAGAAACCGGGCGTAAGTGTTACTCGTGCTACGAAATCTTAGTCTTATTGAATTTATTATAGATCACAAAACTATTATTCATCATAAAGATAAGTTCTATTCTTGTTCAAATAAACGATAGTGGTGAACCCGGAATACCACATCTATTTTAATGATCTATTTTTAAAGAGCGATAACCTTACTCGTGGGAAATCTATGAACTTTGACTGATTCACCTTTATTTTCGAACAAAGATATTACGTACGCACTGTAACATTCAATTCGGATTCAAGATATGTTAGTAGTATACTCACAAATGTAATCACTACTCCAGAGCAAACGATATAGCCCCACTTATTTTTATCAACGCTGTGGCTTTCCGTACCAGTGTTCATATCGTTAACAATATTTTTTTCACGATAGCCACAGCTCTCCATGTTTAATGTATACACACGGCTCGTCGGCACACAATAGACGCTACAACTAAACTATTAAGTCCGGATCCCTTTGATAAAGAGTTGTATTCTATAAATGTAACACGTATTGAATGTAATACCCGCGCTTTGTTCCCTCGTGTGTACAAAGACTGTGACGTCACATGTTGACAAACTGTTATCTACATTATTATTTATGTATCCTTATTCGTTGCTACATTATATTTCTGATTTTACACTTCTCTGCTGTGACATAAATATTACTACTTAAACAGCCAAAAGTAAATAAATAAATAAAGCTAGAACAAAATAATCTTCCCACAAACTTTGTTTGAACAGTTTGGCATCAATTAACATACAGTTGTATGTAATTTGATGCCAATGCTAAAACGATCAATCTTTATAATCAGATCTCCTAAAACTGGGTTTCTAAGTTTTTCAATTTTATTTTATAATTTATGTAAATAACCAATCGAAATTCTGAGTTCTCGCTTTGACGATTTTATTTTTATATGTTAAGGCCCTGCCCATAAACATGCTACAGCACCCGAGGGTTTGTGTTACTAACCTTTAAAAATGCCCCTGTTACTTCATTCGCCACATGAAATGTATTGCTTCTACTTCACTCTGGTCTTTTGGTATATAAATAAAACAAACAATTAATTTTCGGAATGAGTATTGCCTTATACGTATAGTAATTTAAACGGTTTTTTACGGCGGTAGGGCCGCACAGCAGCCTCGGCTGTTGCACGAATGGGCAGGCTCATCCGGGTGCGTACCACGACCTCACAGAAGACCAGCATAAAGTGAAAGTATGACAAATACTTTCGCGTTTCGTCTGGTGAGTGAGGTAGCCGGAGCCCAATTTTCAAAAGGTTGTCAACGCATCTGTAACCCTCGGGTGTGGCAGATGTTCATGGGCGGCGGTATTCACTTAACATCAGGTGAACCGTCTGCTCGTTTGACAACTTTTCACATAAAAAAGAGGTTAAAAGGCGTAGCATTCCTAGCATTAGAATAATTTAATAAAATTATATATAATTTTATCTTTGGACTTTAATTAAATATTACCGATAGATATTAATTAAGAAAATGAATTGATCCAGACTGAAAAAGACTATTGACAAAATGTACATTGTTTTGTTCAATTACTTTTGTACAAATCATGCGCGTATTTACTTTAGTTCAGGTAGCAACCGGATTGGTTATAAAAAACATCCACTTACCTTATCAGATAAGTAGGTATTTGTCTGGATTATAAACAAAATTAGATATCCTATCGGACCACATACATACATCCCATTATAAAAAGCTTTGAAGCAATCTCAATCTGAAAATTCAAAAGATATTTTCTTGAATTATTATAATATGCTCTATGGCTTATAAGGAGATAATCAAATGTAACATACAGTCCCGTTTTACCATTACATCAATATTTACCTCTATTATTATTTTTTATCTTTATTATTATTATTATTCATAGTTATCACCTATACGTCTGTTTTTAAAGCGTTTCGTCTGTTTTTCTGACTCAGCGGTTTAATTTACATTGTGTGATTTTGACTTAACGAACGTTTAATAAAACAACATCATCGTTTAATATTTAGTGAGACTAAGAAAAGCCAAGCGACTATTAGGCCAACATTCCGTTCAGCCCTGTAGTCTCGGGGTATCCCCTGTCTTAAAATGAGACTAATATGGGATATGGACTGTGAGCAGTACGAAACAGTCGAACTGTTAAAAGATGGTGAGGAAACCGGGCTTAGCTTTCTCCGAGGCGTGCTCAATGTTAAAAAAATATTGTTAGGATTTATCGCATACTTTTCAGTCACCTTCACATCCATCGAGAACGTTCCATTCACACGTTATTGTTAATCTGAACTAGAATCAGTTTTAAAATAATAAATGCCCAATTTACACAGAAAGCGCCGTATAAATCTTATGCATGACAAGTTATATTTTATTTATTATAGGATTCCGAGTTAATGGCACCAAACCCTCTTCACTATTGAAATTTGTGAGTTTACAACAATATCCTTGAAAATTATTTTTGGTGATAATCGGTATAACTTTTCAGAGAAAAAGGGGGGAATGTTAATAAGGCTCAAGTATATTTTTTTTTAATATTTATTTACAAAATGTATAATAGGGAAAAGACTTTTTTTATATATTTTTATATATCAATATTATAGAATAGTATGATATTTACAATTAACTCTATGTATAATCTAAATGAGTATTATAAATTAGTTAACTTATCTCTTACCTCAGAAATATATACAAAATTTATACTATACAAGAAAATTCGGATATTCCTTTTACAATATTATTTACATGGGAGACGATGGAATTTCACTGTCGCAATTTAAAACTAAAAAAAAATTGTATCTGTTGAATTATACATAATAATTTCTCTATTGAGGAACTTCCAGATTTATTTCAATGTTTACAACGGTAAACGATACAAATTATTTTAATATAATTCATTTAAGAATATGGCACGATTATATTACTATTAATTATGTATTACTCTAAAGTAATTTACAATTGATACATATAAATTTTCTAAATAATCTAGAAAATTATTACTTTCAACTATAAATATTTTATTTATGTATTTTATTGACTATTATTATTGTAAAGTTTTCTTAAATTGATCAACAGCGGAGACCTTTTTGAATTCTTTGAATTTATAGATATTTTTCTTTAATATTCTTTTTTAGACTTCATTACTACGCGGAGACTTTTTATGTTTAAAATATTTCAATAAAGCCTCTATTGTCCAAGGTACAACGCAGAACACGTTACACATCGTTAACATACTAAATGCCAATACATAATTTCCCGTGTAATCGCGGATAAATCCTGAAACAAAATATTTAATGTTAATTGATATTTTAATTTTACTTTTATTTGACTCCGTGGCGTAGTTGCCAAGGTATTGGCTTCGGCGTCGGAGATCGTGGGTTCGATTCCCACACGGGACAACGATTTGTGCCTTCCACAGATAGTTGTCTCGCGTCTGGGTGTTTTTCCATGTGAAATTTATGTTTGTAAAACGCTCGTACAACACAGGATAATGTTAACCTAAAATAAATGTTTAAAAAAAATAATTAACCTTAACGGTAATATTTAAAGTGTTACTTTTTGCTTAGTATTGCGAGTATTAGCCTAAGGCAAAGTCCGCCCCATTACTAATACATTTTACATAATCTGATCTAGTTCGTGAAACATGGTTAACGCGTTAATATTTACCATGAATATTAATCAAGGAGCTCGGGCGGTGTTTTTGTGACACTTTGTGACACAGTGTTCCCGTATAACTTTCACTGCTAGTATTATTCCACGGACAAAGACCGTAAGTGGAAGGCAAAACTCGTCAGTGTTTCATTGCGGCCATAAATTTTAGGCGCGTTGACCAACAATAAATACACTGGATATTCCTCTATGAAAGGCAGCTTTTCGTACTCACCTATCATTGGTCCAATGGTTAAGCTAATTCCACCAGCGAGCAGCATGTATAGACCGTAGGCGGGTGGGTATCTCTCTATAGGTACGTGTTCCGCCATCACTATGGGCTGAGCGATGTGCAAAAGCGATCTTAGCGCTCCCAGCACTCCGGTCGTTATCAACAGCGGGATGTACGTCGTGAATTGTACGAACGCTGAAAATATTATAGCTTCTATATCTTCCATTTTATATGATGAACGCCTGTACTTACATAAAAGAGCATCATTTCAACTTAAGGATGTGATCTAATGGACTTTGGAGAACCATTCAGAAGGCTACTGATAAATTAATGAAGCTGGGGATTATTACGGATTTTTTTTAATCTCATGATTACTTTTGATTCAATTCTTTATCGTCTCGTGAACAGACTCACCTACTCTAAATATGGCGGTGAGTAGAGCGCCTACGTAAAACATGTGGCGGCTGTTCATTCGGAAGAATTGCCCAGATACGCCCAGCAGAAGTCGAGCGGACATGTCGGTAGCGCCACCAGTTGCGATTATGTTCGCTATTTCAGACTGTTGAAAGGAGACGTTAAAAAATATTTACAATATAAGTACTACTACCGATATCTGTCTACCACATTTAAGATTTCTTGTAGTCTTAAGCTGAAACACTGAATACAGAAGACGTTTTCTTTCAACGCGCGATTATTTTGTATTCAATGAAGATTATAAATCATTAATCTAATATTTACATTTCGATTAAGTTTACACACGAGGAGGTATACATAATTATGGTCAAGAGTCAATTGTCTAGTCTTGATACTTCTGTATTATGACAAAGGTGCAAAACAAAAAACACGAAATACAATTTTAAAAATTATAAGAATAAAAAAGAAGAGGTACATTTTAGATAAATATAATTTACGCAAACCAGAACACTATACACAATAAAATACTAAATACATATATTTTGCAATACCAACATAAACACTACATAAAATAAATATGTATAAATGTATATAAACATATATACATACACATATACAGATACGAGTATTTACATAAATACAAAGAAGCTTTAGTAGAGTTATTTTCAAGAGTGGTAAAATTTATCATTTTTGGTGTAACAGTAAAGTTTTATTTTATTAACAAAATTAATTTTCTTCACTGTTAAAATTCACATGATTCATTAATCTCTTTTAACAAAACATTTAAACATTGTATAACTAAACCAATTAGGAGTACTAGTGTGATAAACAAATGGGTTTGTAATTATTGAAGCGAAGGTCAAGGTTTACCTCGGCCTTCGTTAGGTAAGCAGCGCCGGGTCAATTAAGAAAGAATTTATGATGATGCTGCGTCATTGAGATTAAAAGATTCTTAAAAAAATACTTCCACAGTTTTTTTTAAACCATTGCCCTTACTTTAGGATAAAACTATCCTGTGTTGCAACGACGTTTTAAATACAAAAGTTTCACGCCCAGATGCGAGACAACTTTTTTTAATTAGCCAAAAAGCTGTGTGTATTTGTCTTATTTTGGGTACGGTTTCCAGATTTTAGATTATTAGGTTTTAGATTATTACGCTTTCTTATATTCTCCTTTCATATTGGGTAATTCCTGTATTTCACCCACATGCATACATAATGAAAGTTTGTATGTATGGATGGTTGTTTGTTACTCTTTCAGGCAAATACTACAGAATGGATTTTAATGAAACTTTACAATAATATAGCTAATACATGAGAATAAGACATGGCTATAATTTATATACATATTTTATGTACATCTGTCTTTCTGTCAACATGTTACACCTACAGCCTATTCTACGCGGACGTAATCGCGGGCAGTAGCTAGTGTAACATATGTGCAATCTTATGTATCATATATTTCTAGTTTTACGACGAATAAAAAATGAAAACATGAATATAATTTAATGAAATGACATCTATAGCCGTGAGATTTTTTAAAGATATAACTCAGGAGCTGTCTTGACTCAATACATTTAACTTCAAATTATTAGTAGTGTGGCGTTGTAGATAATTCCATGGTTTAACTCATTTAAGCGTTGTTTTGAAATGGATAATGGCAAAGTATTTAATTAAAATTAACTTAATAAAAGGTCAGTATTAAGCGTAACATTCAAACCCCAGCGAAGTAGAATTTCAGGTTAATTCCACCGAATTAAATCAAATTAAACATTGTAATCTTTGTTATGTACTTGTCTACATATATCACAATATAAACATAGGCAGTGTCACGAGTATCAATCATTAATAAAGATGAATGAGAGGTATAAGTTATATTCTTAATAGTGAAACTTTACAGAAACAATAAAAAATTACGCGCGTTTTAAATTACCCGTGTTAAGTTATTTTTGTCCAAAAATAACGGCTCCAGCGTAAAGAACGTCAGATCGGAAAAGAACGTTAACGACATTCCGATTATGATATTGTCGTAAACAAGGTCTTTCAAGAGTGTCAAGTCCAGGAACTCTGCAACAGTTTGCCTAAAACCAACCAATTATCATTAATGATTATCAATAACTGTTACAACTATTTATTTGGATTATATTGTAACTAAAAGCAATTTAGAAAACTAGTACGTTTAGAATCAGCATGCATAGTTCAATACTACTTTATGACCTTATATTTTTACATTCATGATTTCTTTATATTTTTCTTTCAAAAACTGTAAAGAAAAGATAAATTGAAAATTTCCTTTACCATTTCCCTTCTTTATTTTTGATGATTGGCATGGGCTCGGCTGCAATGTTACCAAAATTGCCAAGGCTAGAGACGGATGCTGCTTTGTACAAATTTTCTAAATACACATTATCGTTGGAATTAAATTTACTGTCAGTCTTTCCATCTTCAGGTATTAAAACTACGGGAATACTTAGTCTTCTAGAATCGTCTAGCTTCGGCACAAATAGTAACTCAGTTCCGTTTTTTGGTTTCTCCTTGGTGGCAACAAACAAGTTCTCAGCGGACTTGGCACCAGTATTCTTACTTGCACCATTTTTTGCTTTCGGAAAATCGAACTTATCTTCATCGTTGTCAACGGCGGGTGTAGGTGGTATTACTGTGATCATATCGAAAAATGTACCATTAGGAAATATACATTTATAATTTTGATATTCTGGAGTTTATAAATATGTGCACTAATAAGTGGTATTGAACTTACGAACGATTTTTTCGCAAGATTTTATCCGTTTCACCATATGCCATTTCACCGGATGCAATACTGTCGCTCCGAAAATACTATGGGCTGATATAGCGCAGAGGATCGCCAAAGTACCTCTGAATCCGTACTCCGTTATTGTGAATTTAATGAACAGTGGATACATCATTGTAATGAGCCCGATAGAAGCTTTGCATAAACTGAGATAGAGCACTTTTTTCTTGGTGAAATAACTGTTGAAACTCGTGTAGGAGACCGGAATGAGTAAACCCATTCCGAGGCCTTGAAGAAATCCATTTGTTATTATCAGCTGTGTCGTTGATACAACGAATATAGCTAAAAATGACGCTAATGTATAAATAAAGGCCCCTATTAGACCCACTTGCCTTAAGGATAACTTCTTTAAAGCTATGTTAGCCGAGAAACCTGAAATAAAAATACACTGTAGTTATCATAAAATTTTACGGTTAATTTTGTGCTATATTTTAGTTTTCGTCATTTTTCATCAATATGAATAAAATTTACGACGTAACTTATGTGTATAGAATTTACTTATTATTTATTTGTACTAGTACATTAAACGGTCATTACAAAAAAAAAAAAACATTCCGCAGTTTTTTTATGCCATAACCGTTTCAAACATTTTTAAATTTCAAAACGAAAGAGCCGTAAGTTAGAGTTAATCACAATTTTTCACCTGCCAGTGCCACGGTTACTTGGAACACCCCGTAGACGACAGTGACGGCACCGGTACCCGCTCCCAGCTCGTCGAGAAAATCGTTATAAATGAATCCGAAGACTGGCTGATGTGCTGTACCCGCTATCTGTAGGAAACGAAGAAGCTTATATATATTCACGTAAATATACTTTTGGTGCTATGTTGACGGCACGTGATGCAACTAGCTTGTTTACTGCCTCACGAGTCCTAAGCTAGTCCTTTTATTTTTGGACGTGGGTCCAAAATTCTTTCTTGTTTTGTCTCCTTTTCTAGAAAAAAGATAAGAGAGTCTTATTTAATTGAACTTTTTTTCTTGTCGTTGCATATCTTGTGAATAAAGATACTGCCATTATATTGCAGGTATTGACGACTTAAATTATAGGTTACCCGACGTAGCTGGGTTCACCCAGGGTAGGCTGGGAGTGGAGTTGGTAGAGAGGCTGCGTGACTTATTTGACAGATTCATATATTGCGCATCATTCACCCTTGAAACCTTTTTATTGTCATCAAATAAAATTGATAAACGGGGTTCCTGTTTCCACTGCCCTGAAGAGAGATGAGGAAGCAGTTCGTCACCGATTCTGTCAAAGCTTTTCAAGACGGACACGAGCTTCAGTAATACCACGAATAAGAATAAGTAAGTAGTCTTTAAAATTACTGTATTTTGGGCCTTCGTGATAAGAACTTGATTTGGCTTTGGCCATGAGGTGTAATTATTGCCTAGATATTGGCTTCGGTGCTTGGGTCGTGTGTTCGATTCCGACATGTATTTGTGCGACCCACCGTGTCATTCGTTCCGGATCTAGGTATTTGTTTGTTTTTTTTTTCAATGTGAAAGTTGCCAAGCGAGCAGACGGTTCACCTGATGTTAAGTGAATACCGCCGCCCATAGACATCTGCTACACCCGAGGGTGTGCAGATGTGTTGACAACCTTTTTGGAAATCGGGCTCCGGCTACCTCACTCACCAGACGAAACGCGAAAGTATTTGTTATACTTCCACTTTACGCTGGTCTTCTGTGAGGTCGTGGTACTTACCCGGACGAGCCTGCCCATTCGTGCAACAGCCGAGGCTGCTGCGTGTTCCCACGAAGTTGAAATTAAGCAGGCGGGCGGTCGTTAAAAATCCTTGTTAATACCAATGAGAACATGATTCACATGTTGCCAAACCCACCGGGGTGGCATAAGGGGAAATAATCTTTATTTATAAAACTATACTAAGAAAGTTACCTTGCTCATTCAGCATTCAATCATCGTTAAATACATTAAAGACGTTTATTCCGTCACCTTAAAATAATGGTACAGAACTTAGTCACTAAAATAACAAAAATAAAACCATCCATCCAAAAATGATCCATCTACTATTCGAATCGAGATGTACTTTACAAATTCGTTTTAATTCAAATTAGTTTTATAATATATACAATATAGTTGTATAATAACAGATTTAAAGCCAAGCCGTTGACACTTTTTAACACATATTTATTTCTGCATCAGACGTTAAGATGCTTTTACGACATGATCTACATTTTATCACACATATATGGAATGTAATTATTACAAAAACGTTTTAGATCAGATGATTTCCTGAATTAAATAGAAACTTTTGAATAATTAAAAAGACCGGAATGCTTTGAGCGTACATTAAAGCGAAATTCACAACATAGTGACTTTAAATTGAGAATTGATTTTATATAATTAACTATATATATTCATTCGACCTCGCCTATCTTTGTTAAATTCCACGAATAAAAAAGAAAAAAATTCTAAGACACGCTCTATTATCGTAAACATAATTGAAACTAGACTCTCAAATGCGCAGTTAGATATAGCAGATAAATAATAGCAGTTAGGCTGAAGCTTCATTCGCGCAATAACTAAATAAAAGAACTTATTAAATTTTTATATCCTTTTTTATTAAACAAAATAAAGCTTTAAGCACAAGTCAAATGGAAATAAAGTTTTTACATTTGATTCCCGTAATGTTATTATTGTCTTTACTAGGATTTAATATTTGCAAACTTTATAATAGCGCCTTTTCGTATAAAACTTATCGCACACTTTAAGTACAAAGACCTTACACGTACTTATATTTTTCTTTTTTTTATGTGAAAAGTTGCCAAGCGAGCAGACGGTTCACCTGATGTTAAGTGAATACCGCCGCCCATGGACATCTGCTACACCCGAGTGTTGCAGATGCGTTGACAACCTTTTGGAAATTGGACTCCGGCCACCTCACTCACCAGATGAAACGCGAAAGTATTATACTTACACTTTACGCTACTTACTCTTCTTTGAGTGTGAGTCTTAATTGTACAACAGTCCAGGCTGTTGCGTGGCCCTACCACCGTAAAAAACGCACTTTTTCTGCACTAATTAACGGATGAGGCGATATTTCTTTAGTCTAGTATACTCTGTACTTGTTTCAGCCAATACTTTACGCTTTATTGGTCACTACAGTGACCAGTACATTCTAAGGTATGGTACAAACTAGTATAATGTAAACATACTGTTTTACTTTTCAAGTTCTAATAATTATCATGTATAAGTACATTATAAAAAGTAGCAGCCTTTATGTAATGCCCACTACTGGGCCAAGGCCACTGTAAAGAATCTGTTATGGCATAGTACACCGCGCGAACCCACTGCGAATTGGCGGAAATCACATATATTCGAAATCATTTTTAAATTATTATTCCGAAAATATGCAGAAATCCTCGCGATGTTTTCCTTCACCAGGAATTTAAGATACTTGAAATAAAAACTTATAAACATTCAACAAGGTTTTCACTGATCCTTCCTGTCTCGGGTCTTCTACTAGTATGGTATAGTTTCTTCTATATAGTATTCGGACTAGATGTATGGCGATAAAGTTGCTATCTTTGGAGCAAGTAAACATAACACGTGGAGAAAATTACCATGTTACGATGGTAATTTTCTCAGTCTTTAGATTGGGAATTCCTGTAAAAACACCTCAGTTACCATTTATAATAGGCTTGTCTTAAGCTTGTTGATAAGATAAAAATATATTCCAAGAACTTTACATTTTGAGTGTGCAGGCGAGCTCATTAATATTTTTTTTTAGAAAAATAATACATTTCTGCTTTTGTTTCATGGTCTACACATCACGTGACAACGTATGATAACGGAAAACGTTACTCCAAAGCCACGTTTTCGACAACATACATGAATATAATATTCTTCATCTCCCTTAAGCCTTGCTCGTGAACTGAACTTTCCAGTAGTTAATTTCATAACATTTTAAACCAGTTCTCGAAGCGTTATTGGCAATCCAGTCTGTGTATGGGTCATACAATATGCATAACAGCTAATGGAGCCAAATTCTCCCTTTAATTTGTGTATTCATGTGTTGTATCGAATTGTTGATGTTTTTAACATAGGCGACACATTTGATGTTTAAATAACAGTTATGTTATAAAGCCAATAGCCCTGATAGCTCAGTGTCCGGACGCTTGCCTTTAATTCAATATACTCGAGCAACCTGAGTTCGATCCCCGGTGCCGGCACCAATGAAGTTTTTAACTTTAAGTGCTGATTTATCACGTGCTCCGCGGTGAAGGAAAACATCGTGAGGAAACCTGCATATTTTCGAAATAATAACAAAAAAAAATTATATTTCGAAAATATGTGAAGTCCGCCAATCCGCAGTGGGGCCGCGTGGTGGACTATGCCCTGATACCCTCTGTATAGAAGAGGCCTTTGCCCAGCAGTGGGACATGTATAGGCTGTTACTTTCCTTTTTTATGTTATAAAAGTATATTAGTGATAATAAGTTATAACATAGAAAAGGAGTAAACATTTCGTCTTCATTTTCAATTGCTACGAAATTACCAAAACGTTTAAATAACCTAAAGATTTATACTAATTAAATATAGTACAATAAATAAGTGTGGTATATAAATAACGTAAAATATAAATTTAAATTTGGAAAAAAATATATAAATTTGGAATATGTAATAAAAACATAAATTTAGTATATGTAATAAAGTGTTGTAGAACAGATATAAGCGCATGTTTTGAGATATATGTTGCGGATCCATATTTCACTATATTATTATAAGTTCCTATATCTGAAATGATCACATAGTATTTGCAAAAAAGTAATGTCACTTTGGAGCCAACCACACGACGGTATATTTTTTTGGCTTTAACGATTTTTAATATAACAAGCTTTTTGTAACACTGACAGCAATAGCGTTTTTCCCGTTAGGTTCAAGACGTGATAGTTTGTAAGATTTACTCTTTGTGCCATTGCATTGCATACTTATTAGTAGCACAGTTAGTAAAAAATTTAATATTAATATTTATTAACATATGCAGGATCCATTCGTTATCCAATATTATGTTAAATGTGACGTTAATTGTACGAGTACTTTAAACCACGTGTGTACATTTTGACAGGCTTATCGTTCATTTAGCAGAAATGTATGTTTTGCGGATTTGGCTTTATTTATAATTGCTCACCGTTGCGAATTAATGTTACTCAATCCATGTGTCCTATATACTTCAATGAACAAGTCGCTCAAATTAAGCCAGGCAAAGTCATCGTTAACGTATTGTAACTTGATTCACATGGAATGTTGACAAAGGTAACGCGGTAAATTACATTACGCCGAGTACAAATGTAAGATGAGGTTTTCGGTACCTATTTAAAACTATGTTTATTGTCTTTAATTAATTAATGCAATCAGGTTAATCATTTTTTTTTAAATTTGCGACCATACAACTTTAAAGATATGTTTTCAACCAGACTTTTAGTTGTTTACTGACATCTGAGGAACTTATCACTCTATGTGTGCGCCATATTTGGGACGGTGTCTTCAGTTCGTAAGAAATCTAAAAACGTATTATCACTGTGGGTTATGAATCCGCGAGGTCAGATAACGTGTCCAGCCCCAGCCAACATAAATATGCAATATTTATATAAACATAATTATCTTTAAATTATTTTTAAAGTAAGTTTACCTTTCCAGATATTTTCATTTATTACTCTGTTAAAATGTAATCGTAATACATGATAAATGTCTTAGCAACTATTTTACGACCACTGCCATACCGACATATAACCGCTGGGTATTTTAAGTTTATCTTGTGACCTATCGTTAAACAGTTTATAGCTTAGCGTTTTAGCTGATTAATAAAATATTATTGTTATCTGTTTTTCTTAGACTAACATCCGCTAATATGAAGACTTAAACATTGTTGCTTTAAATTATATTCAAATATAGAAATAAATACAGTAGAAGCTATCAGTCGTTGCTAGATTCCGATTGTAAAAATCACAGTCCCGTCTTGATTCGTTATTGATTTTTGCTATTATATTTCGCATAATTTGTACAAAACAGGTCAACAAAATTAAATAACACTGTTGGTTTACACAGTTTAATGGTCTAATGGTCTAAGAGGTATTTTCATCCAGAAGACACCAAAGACATGTTAGACTGAAGCGTAAATGAAGTCACTGGCGGAATGACACATCCCATACCGACCTAATTCGAAGACAGCAGTAGGACCATGATAACATTTTGATATTATTCTTGCATTTGTCTTCACAATTATTTGTTTTCTAAATATTGAAAACGCGAAGGAGGCGTCGCGCCTCGGCGGAATCGCTTAACTTTTGCAGTCATACAAGTTTCCTAATGATATTTTCCTTAAACTGATATTTACGTAGGCACTTTGAATTTTAAATTTAGTAATATTAACTAACAAGAAGATGTCCGATGCGATAGTATTTTCATACAGTTTGTAACTCAATATGTATGGCGATTCATATTTATTTATTAAGATTTGATAAGATCCATTTTACGTTCCCAATTGACACGAGGTTGAAATAAACTCAGTGTTGCAATCTTTGTACTTCTTCATTGACTTCGAGGTCTGAACTTAGATATTTTTGTAGAATGAATGAAATAAAATATTTTTTTTACAAGAATTAATAAAATTGATCGTAATGTTACGGTTTTACTTAATTATGTTTAGCCATTGTTATACAGTAAACAGTTGTTTTATGGCAAACAATAAAAAACATATGAGTAGTTATGCCTTGACGACTTTATTTTTTAACAAGTGTGATATTGTAAAATATTAGGACGTAGCTTATTTATTTTTTAGTGTCCCATATTTAAGGCGGACATAATTGCATCAGCAATATCTCCCAGTCAACCTAATAAATATGTACAGAAATATATATTTTTGTACAAAATGACATGCAGCTGAATTTATATTTTATTTCTTTCTCAAGTTTCTTAATAACGGTTAGCTTACACGTATCTCTGTCGATATGTACCTACTCTCATAAGTTATATATTACGGTTAGGGTTGGCCAAATTTGTGATGTCAGAACTTAATATATACGCACATTTAAAGATTATCATAAAAATATGCTAGGATAGATTGTGATCCTTCTAATATCGTTTCATATTCTCGTAGTCCTTGTCAATCGCTTTCATGAAAGTACAGGACGTTTTATTTTTATTATTTCACCGCAATAAGCTCCGAGAAAGACTTGGCCCTTTCTACATGACAATGATCACAAAAGGTAATTGTAAAGTAGAATTCTAACAAGCGTGCTTCCTTGGGTCTGCGCTCATGTTTATGTCAAACGAAGAAGTCTTTTGGAGTCACGCAATATCACGAAACAAGCATAAATTATTAAATTGTACAAAGAATCTGACTACAATTAAAACACTAACTGTTTCTTTAAATTCTTTCCCGCGAACACCATATTATTGAAATTATAAACCCTATTCCACCCACGAATGAGACGAATCTAATATCACCTCATATGGCTTAGACTGTAGACCGTGCCAAAGAATTAGACACATACGCTCGTAAAACATTAACATCCTTCGGTAGTCGGTTAAGGAAACCTCCGTTCAGTCACTTTATATGACATCATTATCTGGCCGTACTTATATTCATATTTAATGAAATAAGAACATACTGCCGAAATCCTTCGAAACCCGTTTCAAATAACTCGTTACATAAAAACCAAATTAACTAGAGTGCTCTTATTGGGTAGCTCTTTAATTGCTTATCAATGTGAACATCTTGTACAGAAATAAATTGGCCGAATTTAGAACGCATTTACTTAACCGTATATAAAATAAATAAAATAGCGGTAAAACCGAAGTTGTGATGGATTTGACTTAATTGAACTGTAGTGAGAATAGTTAACACAGAATCGACTTATTATAATAACATTGTGTACTGGACGCGGTCGATTCACTTTTTTTCTTGTTGTCCTAACTTCTAGCTGCAATTGTTCTAAATCAATCTAAATTGTTAACACATAATTTATTTATCTACTTCCTTTTATAACATTTCCCTACCATTACGTACTTTTCTACGCTAGCTGGTTTGCGACGGACAATCAACGACATGTAAAATTTTCGTTAGTACTACGTGTCAATTGTAAATATAGCACAAAATTGTAATGTTTTATCACAAACTAACAGACAAACCTGGTAGGGCCGGGCAACAGTTCACTTTTGCCCGGCTAAGTACCACAACCACACACATGATCGGCGTAAAGTGGAAATGTTAGTCTCGTACTTCTGCGTTTCGTGGTTAGATGGTGGTGGTTAGAAGGTGGCAACGAATCTGCAACCCTACGGGTCTTGCAAACTCGCTACTTTCTAACAAACAAATAAAAAAAAAGAGTCAATAAGTAGTAGTTGTTACAAATTATAGCACATTGTATTCTGGTCTAACGTGTATCATGCAAACAAAACATAATTCTTAGGCTATTATATAAAATATTTTATTTATTTAAACAAACTTATAAACTGTTTCCACTTATTTATATTTACTAGTATAATATACATTTCACAGTAACCTCGATCGGCCAGTAGGTGTGTCATTGACACAATTGATCTCATTTCGATATTAAATGTATGCTTATCAACTTACTATGTATATATAATTTTAAAAACCTTTATTTTTGTCCATACGTGGATTATATACAAACAAACATATTTTAAATCCTAAATCATATGTCTGTTATGTCTAATTTCAAATTCCTATTGACTTTAAAATTATCTAAATATCATGAAAATTTTTATGTAAATACGAAAAAAAATTATAGAAATAATAATAGTTCAATCTGATTGAATTATTTATTCATAAAGTAAATCAATTTTTGAGTCGAGCTAACATGAAAAGTAAATGTCAGACTAAAAGGACTTCTACTTTTAATGGTAGCCTCGTATTATTGGTATTTTGAAAACAGATCCAAAGTCGAAAAAAAATCCAGTCCTCGTGAAACACGTTCTTCGGTAGAATACTTTGTTAGTTTCAATTAATAGCACAATTCTAAAAGCTACAGATTTCAATTTAATAATTATTTATTAATGTCCGTTTCCTGTTTATTCCAAATTAATATAAGAAACATACTAATTTGAATAAACAGGAATTTCTCATTTTCAAAATCATCATTATAAATTTCAATATATAGTACATTAGATTCGCTTGCGAAGCTAGCTTCTCTATATTTAGAAGATTTTTATAAATTCTAATTTATATTATAAAGAGCTTAAGAATAGAACGGAATTATTTAAAGTATTGGCGATTAAAATTTAAATTGGCTACCATTAGATCAAACAACAATCTATTTCAAAATTTAAAACTATGCTAATGTCTTTAATTTTGAAAGTCATTCTTTAAAAAAACTGCGCTTTATAAAAGCTACTAAACATTTTATTAAAAATAATTGTCTTATTTTAGTTATTTAATTTCAATGTGGCCCAACACACCCTTTACAATAATATATCAAAAAAAAATCATAAATATTTTAAATGCAAATTTAAAAATTAAAGATGAAAAAGTTATTCATAGCCTCAAAATTATTTTCTATTAAATATGTACTTACGAAAATAACTGACAACCCAACGCAGATGAGGTAACCCCAGCCACCTTCAGGAGGCACCATCTCGTATTTCTTTTCATCACAATCACTGCCCTCTAGGCTTTTATTCGACTTAGCGTCCATGCTCTCGCAGGTAAATCACCCAAAATTCACTAATGTGAAAGGATTGATAAGCGGCAAAGCCTTTTATAAGAGGACGGCAGGTGGTCCCATTGATAAATCTCAAATAAATAAATTACGCGGCAGCAGTTTACTTAGAGCTTAAACTATAACACCGCGACTGGAGAAGCGAACGGTAACATTTCGCAAACAGAGTAGTCGGATTTTCCACAACACAAATTAACAAACAAGTGATACCGTCTTTCATCAACGCGACACAGAGCAGTGCCGTCTACTAAAGCACTACGTTACCGTGGGCCTATTAGGTGACAAAAAAACTTGAAAATCACACCGGCTGTGGCGTTCGATGTGTATTTTTTTATAATTAATTTTAGGTACCGTATCTACTTCTCTTTCACTCGCGTGAACGTGTGTGGACTGGTCGAATGCAGATGATCTACTTAATCTCTGTGAATGGCGATTCAGTATTTTTACCTATTACCGACCGTAAGCGATGGCATTCCATAATTTGAAATTCAATATCGCGAAAGTTTATAGTGAAATAAGATCAGATTTAAATTCTATTATAATTTTCTAATAACTGTTTTTATCCGTCTACAGCGGTATCAAGAACGTTATAAATATTTACGCAGTTTCCATATTGAGATTATTTTAATTAATCAGTTTACGTTATTTCATTGTCTTTGGAGTTATTTATTTGCACAATAGTTACAAGGAATAATCATGGTTTATAGATATTTGCATTTACTTTACAATGATTAATTTACATTTACTCATGATGAAATGTAAATGAAACAAAATAGTAACATTTTCTTGGGAATTCCGAGAAACAAAATGTTGTTTTCCAAAGTGAACAGAAATGTAACTTTTACGAAACATTAAAAAAAACTCACCGTATTTAAATAATGCGTCCATGTGTAAATAATGAAATATTATTATATTTTAAAAGCACCTTATAATGAATTTTGAAATATAGTTATGTTAAAAGTACTTTGCAGAAACATTTCGTCTGCTATTGTTGCGTATTTGCACATCATGTTTCGCCTCGTACTTATAATTGCAAGTTTACAGTCACGCAAAAAAGCATTAACTCATCAAAAGTGCAATTAAGACTTAGGTATACACGTGTCATTAAAAAGCAAATGTCTTCCTTATGCTGCTTACTATGTGATTCGACAGGTCTACTTACTATGCAATCTTCCTGACGTCAACTCCCTTTGGAACCAACTCCCAATTAACACCCAGATCCGACAGAACAATTATTTATCTGTTGGTCGAAAAATACTTTTCCTATGTGGGAAATAAACCCACGACCCCCCGGACGAACCAATAGCATTTCTATTAATAAGTTATAGAGTATGCTGAAATAGCATGCTTTGCGATTAAATAAAGTTGTATTTATTTCTAGCACACCTAAGCATTGCAATTAGGTACATAACTCACCTTCAATAAAACCTAAAATATTTAGACTAGTTTCGCTAAACTAAATGATGATTTTTAATAAGCTATGTACATCTACACAGATAAATAAATTGGCGTGTCTGTTTTTAATATAAAGCCCGGTATTAATACCAAAATATTTATTTTTAAATTTTTTGCCAGTCTCTGTTTGTTCCGTAATCTCTGAAACGGCTGGACCAATTTTGACGGGCAATTTTCACTGGCAGTTAGCTGATGTAATAAGCAGTAACTTAGGCTACTTGTATTTAAGAAATCTTACTTATTTTTATTAACATATATAGTATAATTCCACGCGAATGACATCGTGGGCACAGCTGGTACATAATAATTCGTCACCCTATAACAAAAATGAAACTTTTAGAGAAAAATAAATGGAGTAATGTCACAGTACATTTGATAATAAAGGAATGTGCTAATGTTGTGGTGATGATCATTTTGGCGTCTTAGTTGTACCGTTGCCACTATAATATAATGATTATATTACAAATACGCAGTATGACCGTAATAAATGTATGGCAGTAGTAAATTTAAGGCAAAATGACCTTGAAATCAAAAAATAAGTGTTTTTATTTTTACGATTTTCATTAGTTTCCTTGATTTTGAAACTGTTTTGAGTCAATTTTGAAATCAAAATTAAATTACTAATTTTGAAATTTTTGGCGATACCGGTTCCTATCGTCTACTTTGAATAATTCAAAATGTTTGTCTAAAACAGGTAAATAAAATCAATGTGTCGTGGAAACATAATGAAATAAAAATTTGGCTTTCATCACAAATAATAGCTGTATCCTTAATAATAGCTGTATCTGTTGAAATTTAGTTTTTTTTTTTTTTTTTAATGAAAAAAGAGGCAATAGAAGAAGCAGATCACCTGATAGTAAGTGAGCATGTACATTTATAACACCAGAACATTCGCAATGCGTGGCCAGACTTTGCGGTAAGAATAGGCTCTTTACCTGACCCTTATAATTTCAAAATCTTTCGCTGTTAATTAATTGCTGATTACAAACAAAAGTGTGCTTATTTAAGCATTCAATAATTGTTTCAATTTAATTTATAATCGAGAAACGTTAGTTCTAACGTTTACTTCACAGTTATACTAAGACGTCATTCAACTTAGGTATATACCGTCAATCTAATATGTCATAATTGTTGCCGCTTGTTGTCTAATGTTACGCAATCGTATTATTGTTATTTAATATGTGCAATTAAACTTTGAACTTATAAATGGCATAGAGAATTATGATAACACCTAAAAGTAACGTTATTGGTCCGTGTTTCTCCTTTCTCCTGCCCTTATTCCTATCCATGTGGGTTCGGCACAACATATGAATCATGTTGTTAATGATTATTAGGTAGATATTTTTAAGCCGCCTGCCTAGCGTGAACCTTATTTGAGAATAAATACCTAGAATAATTGTGTGTGGGTGACAAAAATATTTATACCTATGAATCGAAACCACGACTCACAGCACCGTATTTATATTGACAACTTATAAAACCGTTATTTTTCATTAAAGTCCGGTAAAGTAAGTTAAAACTCGAGTACATAAATTAAAATAGCACTCTGTATCACAATAATAACAAGAAAACAATTTTATTCATGAACTACTTCTATCAAATCTAGACGCAACTTTATTTTATGTTGTGTTGTTTTTTTTTTCAAGAGCGTCAGGCAGAATCGTGGTGTCTACAATCAGCAGGTCATCCGGCATTAAAATAAAAAAATACCTCATTTTGAAATAAGCCACATATTTAACTAAATTGCATTGGTAAGAAATTACTGGCAAAGTAAAGACCGCCTTCCAATAAATATCATGCCTTTCAATGTCTCTCTGTTCACTGTTTCTGAGAGTCTCGGTTGTATTTTTTATTAGCTATGAAACTACTCTAATGACGTGAGATGCCCCTCTCTATCTTAACGGTCCAACGTACGTATGACATGCGTATGACAGGTTTTAATTGTGTCGTAACAACGAAGTTAGTTATCTAATATGATGTAATTACAAAATTAACCTCAAGGCCCTCAACAAAAATTGGTACACTTATTTTACATGAACAATTTCACTTTTCAATCACTTCACTTGATTTTACTTAAAACAATTTGTTTAAAAATTTGAAACCAAATTTTACCGTTATTTTATTACTCGCAGTTGATGGAGATTAAATACTTAGTAGAGAAATAATTTTTCTGCCTGCTATTACTGCTATTGAGCTCACTCAGTTACGCAATCAAAAGTAAACGCAAGAAAAATCAATGGCATCAAGCAAATCGATTCACCTTCCTTTGTTAGGAATTAAATAATGGCAAAGCTATGAATTAAAATTAATGTAACGCAATTCTTTTCATCATAGTACGGAAAATCATGGGCTAATAAACTCCTAAGAAGAAAAGATATTACGTTATAAAGATCATTGCAGTATCGTCTTAATGTTGAATGGAGATAAATGGAGAAAAAAGTGCGTTTCTATATAGGTAGGAATAACTACCAGGAAAAGGCTAAGCTAAAAGCAATGCAGGCTATTGCCTCAGATGTGCTTTTGCATCTTTCTCGATTATTTGCGTTGCCGGCCTTTTAGGAAAGAATATGCTCTCTTCTTGAAGGTTCGCAGGTCGTAATAGCTCGGAAAGACCCCCGACGGCGGCTGGTTCCACAGAGTGGTTGTGCGAGGCAGGAAATGCCTTGAAAATCGCGCTGTTGTGGAACGCTGGACATCGACGTGGTGTGGATGAATTTTTTTCGTTTTGACGCAATGTCCGATAGTGAAATTCAGCCGCCGGGATCAATATATTATTTTTACAGATTTAATTATAATCGTCTGTCTGCCTCCATCGCAGGTTCTTTTGATGTTAACTAATAAGTGCTGCCCACTGGTTGCGTAAGGAGCGTTAAAAAAACTTTCAAGTTGTAAAAAATTAATGGTCACTGATTAAGTTAATATTGTCAAATCTTGCAAAAAATCCTAATTAAATAAGTTATAAATATCTGAGCATGTTTGCCTTATTGCTGTGAAGCTCAATATTAAATGAAAATTAAATTTAACGCCATGACATCACATAGAAGTCTCGCTAATTTACACGTGTGTTATTTTTATTTTAAAAAACTGTACAATATTTAGTATATAAACTTACATGTACGCCCATTAATTATCTAATGATATCTAATAATGCTAATTAAAAGATACTCGTCTAGACGTATTCAGGGGACTTACTAGTATGTAACATTATGCATCATTATTTGAATTGTTATGTAATTTCACACTTAACATGTTAAAAGCCTAGTGCGTTTTGCTTGGCTATTTAACAAAACAAAGTATTTTTTACTGTCACATGTTAATCTTATTCAAATTCTTATATAACAAAAGTAACAATCGAAACAGAAAATTATGCTTTTTAGTTACTACATAATTGTCTTTAACTGATGATTAATATTTATTTATGTGGGATGAATGAGTAAGTGATGCATGAAACGGATCGAACGGAAGTTAGGAAAAGGAAGAGCTGTGTGAAAGGGATGGAAAAAAAGAGTAATGGCGATATA